TTCAATTGTAAAACGACTGTGACAGACGGAAAGACATACGTGTTTCTTATTGCCAAATTTGGGTACTAATGCGCAAATTACTTGAAAAATTATTTGTTTTTGTCTTACAAATTTTATCGTTTTTTCATGTTTCGTCTTTTTCATATTTAAATTTGATATTGTTTTATCACGAGAGAAACGAGACGAGAGAAAAGCTCTCTCGAGTGAGAGAAGCGCCTTCTCGTCGAGACGAGAGAACAGTTTTCTCTCGCCTCGTCTCGTCTTGTCTCGCGGCATCACTCAAAAAAATTGACGTTGAATTTTTCGTTTAATTTTTTTTTTTAATTATCAAATACAAAATAAGTAAGAAAATATTTTTTATTTAATTTTTTACGTGATACTGAAGGCGAAGACTTCTTCTGAGGTGGCACCAGACTTCTTCTGAGGTGGCACCAAAGACTTCTTTTGAGGTGACACCAAAGACTTCTGAGGTGGCACTAAAGACTTTTTCTTTTTGTGGTAAAACCAACAAGTTTTGAATTAGGTTGTTCTTGCAATCAACAAAACGCATACGCGCATAATAACTGTAACAGGTTTCTGCAAAATTTTGACTTGAGTTTGTCTTGCAGTAAAGAATATCTTACAAGATTATTTAAGAATAGAAGAATGTAAAACATATTTTGACTTATGGTAGTCTTCATTTAGTTACTTATCAACTAAATATGTTGGTATTGTATTTCTGCATTTCAAAAGTTCAAAAAGGAACAACAATATTTTTAGTTATGTTGATGTTGTATCAGGAAAAATTCAATAGTAACACTTCTGTTATTTATAGGACATTCTTTCGATTTAGAGATATGTTGGTATTGTATTATCAAAGTTAGCATCTAGAATACTACACCGCACAAATCTCAAAATCGATAAATTTTGAGTTATGGTGGTCTTGTACTCATAGTGCGATATATTATGAAGGATTATAAAAGAGCACACTTTTGAGTACATTCATAAAAGTTAAAGAGTATACTTTTTGAAATATTATAATTTAAAATTTTGATAGAATATTTTTATTCACTACGAAAATCTAAGCTACCTGCCCATGGATAAAAATTATGTGGAATAATCTCCCCCTATCTACTGTCTCATACCCTAAGAACTCGAGATTTCAATTTAAATTTTAAGAAAGTTTTCACGTGTACGCCAGGTAAATAAAAATTTTATTTGACTATCGAAAAAATAAAATTATTTAAAAAAGAAATCATAAGAATTATATGGCTAAGTTTAATTATTTCCTGAGGATAGTAACTTGGTGAATCAGATGCTACAAAATCGGTAAGTGAAATATTTTTTTTTTTTACTTTCTTAAGAGTGCGTGTCCTGCACTTAGCTATGTATAGTGACACTGTTTTTTTTATTTTTTCATTTATTTTAAAAAGTATCTTGTACAAAAAAATATAACTGTTAAGTTAGGGTCCCATTCTTGAAAATGTTATATTTTCTATTTCTCTTAGTAAGCCCAGAAGCATAATTTTTAATTCAGAACATGGATTGTTCAATACGCTTAAAAAAGTGTAAAATATTTAATGGAATAGAATAGGATCTTGCCCTTCTTGTAAAACAAACATAACTATAAATTTCTAAACCGCTTATAATATACAAATGTTTTGAATATGAATTAAACATGTAAATTGTATAACTAATGGCGCGAATAAAAAGCATTAGTTCTAAAGCTAATACTCGAGTCACTAGATGTTTCGCTATTAAGAGTATCCATTTTCGATCCAGAAAAGCCGTTTTTATTTAGGCATTGATCTTGCCAAGGTTATTTTTTATTTAAAAGTAGGTACGAGTATAAGGAAAGTATAGGAATCATGATTTTTTTCGACCTCGAGTTTTCGACAGATTTTTACGTTTTGAGGTCCCCTGAATCCGTTTTGACTATTTTCGCGATGCCTGTGTGTGTGTGTGTGTGTGTGTCTGTATAACGCATAACTCATGAACCGATACACAGAAAAACACCAAATTTTAAACTTAAGCTTTGTTTCAGCGTCCAATGAACTGATTAGATTTTGGGCAGAGTCGGAACATCTGGGGGGGTACTTTATAGGTGGTCATTTTTATATTTTATGGAACATATCTGTTATTTACGTTTGGAGAAGAAAATTCTTCAAATAAAAGTTACTTCTAATACAATTATCTATAATTTTTGTTTTATGCAAAATTTTCCTAAAATGGTCCGTATTCGAGAAATTTGAGAAAATGTAAAAAAAATAATTTTTTTTTTAAAGTTGTTTGTAATATAATTCTCTATAATTTTTATTGTATACATAATTTCTCTATTTCGAGATATTTGAGAAAATGTGTAAATTTCGAATTTTGAAGAAAACTCAAAAACGGATAAAGAAAAAACATTAAATTTTAAAATTAAGGTTTATTTCGGCCTGACGTGAAATGATTAGATTTTGGACAAAGTCGGAACATCTGGGGGGTTACTTTATGGAAGGCCGTTTTTATATTTTATGGAATATATCTGTTATTTATGTTTGGAGAAGAAAATTGTTCAAATAAAAGTTACTTCTAATATTATTATCTATAATTTTTGCTTTATGTCAAAATTTCCTGAAATGGTCCGTATTCGAGAAATTGGACAAAATGTGCAAAATTCAGATTTTTATGAAAATTGTTGAACTAAAAGTTGTTTGCGATATCGATCTCTATAATTTTTGTTTATATATGATTTTTATAAAATGGACCATAATGGAAAAGTGCTAAATTTAAATTTTTCAGTATTTTCGTTTTCAATGAATATCTATAGAAAAATGTTTCGAGGTAGATGTATGTGGACAATGTATATATTTAGTTTATCCTCTAAACATTTATAGAGATGCTGCAATAGGTTGTACAAAATAACCGGAAAAAGCCTATAATAACTAGATAGGAAAGTCATGTGTTGGACACATCAGATTTTTCTTATTGTTGTTTTTCCATTTTCAAATAGGAAACAGTCGTTGGCCGGGGGTGAATGGGAGCCAATTACTATATTTGAGCGTGGCCAATCACTATCGCAATACGTTCTTTTTTCAGATACAACATGCCAAAGGTTTCTGAAGGTGCTTCGTACCGAAAAGAAGCTTCTAAGTTATACCACATTCCTCGGGCCACACTTCAATTCCGGTCAAGTGATAAATTTAATAATAAAGTTACACTGGGACCTAACCCAATATTGACTTCAGAAGAAGAGGCAGTTCTAGAAAGATGGATTTTGACCTCACACAAAAAAGGATTTCCGCGTAGAATGGAAGACATTCAAGCCTCTGAAATATTTCCTTGACGCAAATCCTAGAGAAAATCCGTTTAAAGATAACCTTCCAGGGAGAGGATGGTATCAAGCTTTTTTAAAACGTCACCCAAATATAACACTAAGAACCTCAGAAGGAATAACAGCAGCCAGCTCAGTTGTAGCTGAAGCAGACATAAATAATTGGTTTTCTAGTGTGGAAAACTATTTAAAGGAACAACAATAATTTGATATTCTTGAAGATCCCAGCAGAATATATAATGGAGACGAAACCTGTTTTTGACTTTGCCCAAAGAATAAAAAAGTTCTTGCACCGAGAGGAGCGAAAAATGTATATGAAATACAACATCATCCCAAAAATAATATAACAGTGATGTTCACATTTTCAGCTTCTGGTGGACACCTGGGGAATCGGATGCAGTGACAATGGCTGGATGAAAAACCAACTATTCTACGAGTATATACGAAATGTCCTTTGTCCTTACTTAAAAAAAAAATAACATAAAATTTCTAATAGCCTTGTTCGTTGATGGTCACAGCACACATTTAACATACGAAATAAGCGAATTATGCACAAAGTTAAAAATAATTTTAATATCTCTATACCCCAACTCAACTAGAATTATGCAGCCCGCTGATGTGGCCGTATTTAAGCCCTTAAAAGAAGGTTGGAAAAAGGCTGTTTTAAAGTTTCGGAGGGAGCACCCTACTGAAGTTGTTACAAAAGAAAATTTGCGGCAGTTTTAAAAACAGTAGTTAATAATATAAAATCGGAAGGTATAAGAAATGGTTTTCGTGCCTGTTGGCTTTTCCCATGAAACTCGTCTGCAATCGATTATTCCAAATGCACCGGTAAAAAAAGAAAAGGATCAAGACAAAGAAGTAGGTGAAATTACGATCCAAACATTTAAAAAAGTTGTTGAAGTGGAAAAAATGGAGAGGCTTAAAAACTTTGATGAAAATGATGCGCATAGTGACGATTTTCTTACGCTTTTTTATCTTTATAAGGAATTTTTGAAGGAAAATCCATTAGTGGATATGGATCAACCCGAAGATATAAATCAATTCGTAGATATGGATCAACTCAAAAATATAGATCAACTCAAAGATATAGATCAACCCGAAGAAACGAATCAACTGGAAGGTATAATTCAATATCAAATATCTGAATCAGAGTTACATCTTGAAAATGACAACTTGAACGAACAAAATAATGAGAGCTTTATTAAACAGACTTCGGGAATTAATCAACAAATATTTGACATTGAAAATATTCCTATTGTAATAGAAGAAAATACTGACAGCCAAATGCCTAGCACTTCATCGCTTAATTATGAACAAGGCATATTAAATAAATCATCTTCATCACTCGGTAATTTCGTCATTTGGCCCAAAACTCCTGAACGAAAGGGAAAAAGAGATACGGAAAAACTGCCCTTTGTTCAGACTTCCTCAGTTAGGAAAAAAGCAATAATGGAAAAAATAGCTATAAAAAAGGAAAAGGACGCGGAAAAAGAAAAACGTAAGACTGAAAGATTAAATAAAAAAACAAATAAAAGAAAAACAAACAAATAAAAAGAAACTAGTAATCAAAAGAAAACCTAAGACTCAAAACAATGTCAAAGACTTACCAAACTTCAATAATCCTAATCTTGTTTTTAAAAATAATATAAATTCAGAATCAGTCACAAGCAGAGTAGTTGATATAGAAAACAATGATCCTAATATGAAATATTATTTAAATGAAACTGAAAATAGATGTGCAAGCAAGGAAGAGTCTACAATAATTTATGTAAATGATGACGACGCTTTACCTAACATAACAGAAACCTCGCCAGAAACGGGCTTCCAACATGAACCTGAAATTGTTAAAAGTAATCTTACTGTAGTGCCAGAAAAAACGAAAAGAAAACTGTTTAGGGACAACAATAAGGATGCGGTAGATAGTGCGAATAAAATAGTTAACGTAATAAGTAACGTTATTATTAAACCATTTGCTCCTAATCCATTTACGAACCAAACTATTTACACTGGACTATGTTTTACGTGTGTTAACAATATAACACGTAGTCAATATGGGGCTAAATGTACAAACTGCTCCAGAACGTACCATATAAAATGTATTACCAAAAATAATATGAAATCTTCCGAAATGAAGCAATTTATGTGCAATATTTGTTTTGACAAAATGGCATTGTTATTTTTATGCGTTCCCTTGTATTTATTAAAACTTTCTAAAACCTAATTCGCCTTTGATTATAAAAACTATATATAAAATATTCGTCTACCCACTAAATCTGAATTAACTTAAATTATTTTTTTTTAAATAAAATTAAAATTCAAGCAGGTATATAAGAAAATTAAGAAAGGCAGGTATGTATGTCTATTAAAGTGGTGGTCAATTATTATTATTATTATTATTATTATTATTTTGCTATGCCAATTATTATACGAATCTGGCCAATCACTGTAAAATCTGCTTCCGTGAAAATATAACGTTTTTTTATAAATATTAAACACTTTTTAACAATAAATGGCATACGACGTCGAAAAGCGGATACTTTCATCTACCATTAAGTGTATTATTTTAATATAAGGCTTTTAATAATAAATGCCTTACATATTTACCAAACTTCAAAGCTTAAGTGGCCAATCACTGTAGCCTTTACCCTATAGGGTCGATTTTATCACATAAATCCGCAGCTATATCTTTTTAATTTTTTGATGAATCAGTAACATACTTTCCATAGATTTACATTTTGTAGACCTATTTGACTTATCTGTTTTAAGAAAATAATTTTGATCGTTGAGAAAATTGAAAAATGTGATGTTGCTTTATTTGTTCGAACCTTTCTTCTAGTTTTGATAATGCAGTTTTCAATATTACAAAGTAAAAATTAATTATGAATTGGTATTCTGCATTTTTTTGGAGTCTCATCTTTACATTTGTAGTCAAATAAACGTTTTTTTTTGTCCGAGGTCTAACAATATGAACCGGAGGAAATGAAGTGTAGCAATCGATATCTTCTGTAATATTTTTTGTCTCTTCTAAAATATCGCTTAAACCCTTATCTGACCTATTATTACATAAATGTTTTGGTTGTTCTAACAATAAAATAATACTTCGTAGTATACTTACAATATCAATTTTTGTTAACGCATATTAGTGGTAAAATTCTGTAATTCAATATGTTTATTTTTAACGGGTGTTAAATTTTACGAATTTAACATAAATTGTTATTCTGTAAAAATAAAATTAACGCATACGTTAAATTTTCAAAAAAAATATACATACGTTAAAAGTAGTTCAAATTTGCAATAAAAGTTTGGTAAGTTTTAAGGTCTGTCAAATAAATGTCATTCCTTTTGTATTTATTGTATCTGTCTGTTTTTGCACAAGAATATTGAAAAAAGTAGTGACCGAATGTACTTTATAAACTAATTGGTAGGCCATCAATTTTCAAAACTAACCCTAGTAACTTTATAATAGTACCCTTCTACGGCAAATCAATTACTAACTACAAAAAGTTTATGTACACTATAAATAAAATATAACTTATATATAGAATTTGTGTAATTTCAACTGTTAAAATTACTTGAGTACTTTCAAAATGGTTCATTTTCATGATTTTCTTGCATTATAAGTTGAATTAAATAATCAAGTCATAATTTCTTATATGTTAAGTTTTAAAGCCTACTAATTAGTACCTGTTAATATCCTCGATTAAACGCATAAAATTAACACATTTATGTTAAATTTTTAACATATTTCTGTTTATAAAATAGATTTTTGTGGCACAAATGAACTATTATGTTAATTATGACAAGTTAACATATTTCATGAATTTACAGAACTGCTTTTTATATTTAACATACGTTATATTTTTAACGTCCTCTAAATTTTAAAATATTCGTTATAGAATTACCACTTATACTATGTAAATATTCGCACCATTATCATAACTCTGTTCCCTTAAATCCCTCATTCAAATGTTGTTAGTCTCCAACAAGCCTTCTTTACTAATTCATTTTTCAAGTTTTGTTTTTCTGTACTAAGCCACAGAAAGTTTTTTTTCGATTATCAAACATCTATGAAAAAATTAAGACATGAAATAACGATAGGTCGACTGTTGACATACTTTTCGTAAAGAATTTATAAAAAAAAGTCACAATGTAAGCTAAGCTGTTTCTTGATAAAGATTGACTATTGCAACGAAACGTTCTAAAAGTTCTAAACCCAGTTAAAACGTGTAAAATTTTTTTATATAAAATATTGACTGGTTGCAACCTGATATAGCGTTTTTCAAGTCAATGTTGTTTTGTTTGCATTTTTAACTCCAAGTAATGATAATATTTTTATATTATTATTTTACCAATGAATTAGTACTAATAAATATTTAAATTAGTATTTTTTTATCATCCTCGCCGCCACCTTGATTTGGCCGCCCTTGTGCCCCGCATCCCTTGCACTCCGGGTTGGAGCGCCCCTGTGGATAATTTATCATTATAGTAAAATATTAATTTATACTACATTATTTATATTATTTATAATAATTTATACTTAGCTAGTGTATTCACCATTTTGTCGTATTAAATAAATCTCAATTACCTCCACGTCTCCATATCCTTACCGAGAACAAAATGCACATTAGATAAGTAGATGATATCTTTTGATTTAAAGGGAATAATCTTCCCATTTACCTTTTCTCGTGCTATCTTCATCCGTGGGATCGTCGTGAAAAATACAGGCACTTTACATTATCTTATTACCTTTTCATACATTACATGAAGCTGAATTACTTTGTTTCTTCATGCATATATGTATTACTCTAAATTAGTTCCACTGTTCTCTTCGCGACTTGATTGTTATATTTTAGTACAGGAAAACGACATTAAGAGCTTCTTATTTTTTCAAAATAAAAATACAGAATGTAATAAAGTTTTTAGTTTATGTTTCCTGGGAATGCGAGAACAGCGATATTTTTTTCGTTTGATTTTATTTCACAGTAAAAGTAAAAATCATATTTTCTAAACAACGCGACAGCCACATACACCCAACAATATTTAAAAATTCGTTTACATTTATTTTGGTAGTAAAATTGTATACATAATAGCCATAAAAATAACTTTTTTTTGTTAGAAATCATAAATTAAAGAAATGGTCGGTTTTTCTCATGAAATGCTGCTTAATTGAAGTTCTCATGAGATTATAGAGTAGGTAAGTTCTTCTTCTCGGCTAGTTCGGTTAACATTCTCTTATGGAGGAGATGGTTTACCGGTTAAGTGAATTATGCGTTTATAATTATAGACGGTGCATTTAGCATTCAATATACAACGCGCTCTAGGTAATTTTTTTACACCTATGATAATTGGTAGAAGAAGATCCACTAATGCGGTAATCTGTTAGAACTCGAGACTCAAGGTTCTGATTAAAATAACAGAATCATTTCGATAAGTTTTGGTACAGTTATATATCTTATGGTCGTGGAAAATAAAATAATTACGTATATTTGTATTTACGTAATGCAGAATGAAGCGTCAAACTATTTAGGATCGATTCCACCGTTGTGTTAAACGAAGTTTAAAATGACATTTTTACATTAACAATGTCATTTTAATCTCCGTTTACCACAACGGTGGAATCGGCCCTTAATGACATAACGTTCCCAGCTGGTTGTAACAACTTTCATTACAATTTATGGAATCGACTTTGACAGATCTTTAGAATGTTGTTATAATGAGAGTTAAACATAAAGTTAATAAAACAACATACATTAACTTTCGAGTCTTGTTGGAATGTCTGAATCTGTATTTTCTGCGAAATCAAAATTTTCAAAGGAGTCAATAAGACTGTCATCTTCAGTGATGTCTAAATAAATTTCATCATTTCAATAGTTTGTATCCGAGGTTTCAGGAACTGAAACTAGTATTCGTCTGTTTCTCAATTTAAAAAAAAAATACTGTCACCTCTTATTTTCTTTTTGTAAAATAGCTTTCTTTCATTTTACTATTATTTTTAATAAAAACGTTTTGATTCTCTATGAGTTGTTTCAGGTTTACTGTAGCTCTGTCAAAGTATGTTTTTTTTTTAATATTTTCTTTTGTTTCAAGATTATCCCTAATAACACCGATATGCCAGAAACATCCCATTTAGGTTCCATGTATGTTACTATGTTTCTGACATAAATGGTACGTCCCTACGATGTCTCTAAAGCAGTGGTCGCCAACCTCTCAATGTGCTGAGCTACTTTGTTAATTTTGGAATAAACAGCGAGCTTCAGGCGCGGATACAAGGGGGGGCAATGGGTGCAATTGCCCCCCCCCCCCCTGACACATGACCGAAGCACTTTATTTTGACCACTCAAAATATATTTTAAAATCGTCATAAGCACATCACTGCCTGTTTACAAGAATCGGTATTAACTCAACACTACTTAAGTAGATTACATCGATCCATCAAGTGTTCTTTACTTAAAATTACTGATAAAAATAACATCGCGAAGTTTGATTAAACATTTCAAAAATTAAACTTCTGCACTTCGCGCAACTGTCGCAACAAACGAATATACCTACAAATAAATTACTAGTATAAATACTTATAACAATTTTGCGTATTCATATAAATAGTTTAATAAATTGTGAATAAGTGTTGAAATTTTGTAGAATTATGATTTGGGATGTTATAATACTTGTTAAAATAATTATTTCTGGCCCATAAATATATGCGGTTGCTCGGTTCCACTGGTAACAATTTAAAATGACTTATTCTACGATACGACACTGGCGGGCAAACATTACTTCGAAATTCATGAAGCGGCGCCGGCGCGGTTCGAAGTTTACCATCTCTCCAACTACCAAAGTACCTCTGTTCAACTTCCACGCTAGGCTAGTTTGCAGTTTGCACACTTGATTGAGTTGAGACAGTGTTTTGTCGCACGCCAGTAGGCAACACGGATAAAATAGATTCACAATCTACACAGTGCCACATAGTATTATTTGTTTCATCTCTTCAGTCATGGTAAGTTACTTGAATACATACTATAAAAATGTTATTTTAAACTTTATCTAAATTCTAAAAGGCAATTTTGCTTGAAATTAGGCTTAGCACAAGCGTCTTACATTAAAATAGGTAACTAAGTGACTTAAATGTTTGATTTATTTAAATGTTTATTGTTAAATTAAATTTTAATTATCTGAATAGAAAAATGTGTTGTGTTTCTCGCTGCGAATTTGTTACGCTTGTGCCCGCCGTTCGTTTCTTTTCGAAGAAATCGTGATCCATAAGCTCATATTAACATTGGCTTTCTTTGTCAACAGGCAAATCAGCAGCCGGGGTCGTCAAAGCAGCGAACCTCAGAAATCCGAGGTATTGAATCATTTTTTCAGCCTCTCAGTAAGCGAGCAGGTTTAGCTTGTGCTGCAACCCCTGTTTTTGGACTAGATAACAGTAATAAGGTGGTGGACCCTATTGCTCATGCTTCTTCCCGGACTCCCGAGTCCACTGTGTTTGATAGCAGTGATAACTTAAATAATCATATAGTAGTTGCTACTTCTTCCCGGGTTCTCGAGTCTACAGTGTGCAATAGATCAAATGTCCCCTATGATATAGGAAATTTTTTAAATAAACATTTAGATGACTACACAAAATATCAGCTCCTGTCAAATCATTGGCAACCAAAAGATGACTACAAGTTCCCATACTCCTCACACTTGATTAAAGGTAAGGAGGTGAAACGATATTTTGGGCATAAGTATCTCAGCAAATACCCTTGGCTTGTATTTTCACCTGCGAAACAAGGTTTATTTTGTAAATACTGCCCTTTTTTCGCAACTGGTGGTGTTGGTAGAGGTCAAAAAGCTGTGCCTCTGCAAAAGCTTGTTACAAAACCCTTGATAAACTTTAAGGATATTGCAGGGCAGAATGGGGATTTGGAGACACATGCTAATTATATTTATCATAAACGAGCTGCAGAACAGGGAGTAGCATTCCTTCATACCTATAATAATCCTAACTTGGAAGTAATCAACCGTGTACATCAACAGCGTCTCAAAAAGGTGGAAGAAAACAGAGAGCGACTTCGTCCTATAGTCGAAACTATTATCTTCCTCGGGCGGCAAAATTTAGCATTCCGGGGGCACAGAGATGATTTACCGATACTTCATAACACTGAGATTTCCAACGAATGTGACATGATTGTGAACGAAGGGAATTTCAGAGAACTTTTAAGGTTTCGAGTATCTGCTGGCGATAAAAAACTAGAGAAACATTTACAATCAGCTTCTTCTAATGCTACATATATAAGCAAGACAACACAAAATATGCTTATTTCATGCTGCGGGCAAGAGATTTCTGAGCAAATTTTGAGTAAAGTACGGGCGTCACGATACTATTCAATACTTTTTGACGAGACAACAGATGTATCTCATCTGTCCCAGCTGAGCCTTACCTTACGATACGTGCATGATGGTAATATTCATGAGGATTTCGTCAGTTTTGTGGATCCGTTTGAGGAACTAGCTTATGCTAAACATGAGCATGACTACGAATCCGATGAAGAAAATTGGAAAGAAACCAAAAAACTACTTACTGCCGAAGAAAAGTTGGACGGACCCTCCACACCTAAGGAGTTATCTTTAACCGGCAAGGCCATTGGCCAAATTGTCCTATACCAGCTAAAAAAGAAGCTGAAACTTCCACTGGAACAGTGTCTTGGGATAGGCACAGACGGATGTGCCGTTATGCTTTCCGAAGTTCGAGGTGCTGTCACGGAGGTTCAGAAGGAAGCCAAAAACGCTGTCAGGGCACCATGCTATAGCCACAAGCTAAATAACTCTATTTCCCGTAGCTCCAAAGTGCCTGCTATCCGGGACGCTGTTGCAAGTATGAAAGAAGTAATTGCTTTCTTTAAATCACATCCGAAACGAAAACATGTTCTCATGAGCACTTTGGGATGTGCGCTTACATCGCTTTGTGAGACCCGGTGGGTAGAGCGGCATGAAGGTGTACTTCAATTTTCTGTTGACCTCGCAAAGATTGTGGAGACTCTAGGAAAGATTTCAGAGTGGCGTGACCCGAGCACAGCTGGCAAGGCTGCTTCACTGGTAACAACTTTATGTAATACACAATTCATGGTATCAGTATTGTGTCTGAGTGATGTACTGTCTCTAACGCAGTCTCTAAGTAAATTATTACAGAAGACGGCGCTCGATCTTAATGGCAGTGCTGTGCAAGTAAAGAACACAATTTCAATTCTTGCCAGTCGTCGGGAAAATATTGACGCTAGTTTTAACAACATCTGGCAGCGTGCAGAAAATCTAGCCAATGAACTGGGTATCGAGCTGAATATTCCTCGTATCCCTCGCCTTGGTGGACGCCAAATTTATCGTGCCAACCATCAAATGAATTCAGCCGAGGAATACTACAGAGTATCAATTTATGCCCCTTTACTAGACTCTGTTCTCACAGATCTGCGAGAAAGATTTTCAGCAGAAACCTTAGGCGTCTTTCAGCTATCAGTTTTTATTCCAGAAAATATTATTAAAAGTTCTCCTGGTGAAAATGACAAAAGTATAAAGTTCCTCCTCGATCGATTTGGATTGCTTCTTGGCGTCGATAAGGGCGCTGCCTCTCTTTTGTTAAAAGATGAATTGTTGCTGTGGCGGGAGAAATGGGTCCAAGAAAAGGAACAACAAAAAGAGCTTCCCATAACAGCTCTGGAAATACTGGCTAGGTGTGATAAGGATGCATTTCCCATTATACATGAATTTGTACTAGTCCTTGCAACGCTTCCAGTTACAAATGCATCTGCTGAGAGGTCATTTTCGTCGTTGCGCCGCCTTAAAACATATTTAAGAGCAACCAAGACTGAAAACCGCCTCCTTGGTCTTGCCCTTATGCATATTCATAGGCATATTCCTATTGACATGGAGAAAGTGATCACAAGATATGCAAAAACCGGCCATAAGAAGAGATTGGAGTTTATTATTTAAGAGCCATATTATAATAAAATTATTCTACTTACTTTAAATTAAATGTTTTTTTTATACCTATGGGTTTTAATTTAACTTTTTTGACACACATTAACAAAGTAATGCAAATGAACGTATTACATCCTTGTAATAATAAACTAACATTTATAAAAAAAGCATGTTTAGAACGAATTTTCTGGAAGGTAGGTAAAATCATACAAAAATTGCCCCCCCTAAACGAATTCCTGTATCCGCGCCCGAGCGAGCTACCCACACGGAAGCCACGTAACGCAACGTAAATGAAATAATCCACAGTTAATTTATCATTATATGTATTTATTTTACTATTTAACTGGTAATACATAATACATAGGTACTAATAATAAACTAATAACAAAATAACTAATATTACTAGTACGTACTTGTTCATAGCTACATTCCTACCTACCAAACGAAGGTGTTTGAAAAATAAACACAAACTTTTTTCCAGTCACAACGGCATGTCACGTAAGATTTAAAAATAGTTAATAATAACAACAAAAAAGTAACGCACTCTCATGAACATAAACATTGAAAAATAAAAAAGCACGTTCAATGAGAAGGCTGATACTCAGACTAATCGATAATTTTTTTAATGTTTGCAGTATAATTTGATACAGCCATTCGAATACAATTATCCAAATGTTCATCTGTAAGTCGATTGCGATATTTGTTCTTAATAAACTTCATATTGGAAAAAGAAGATTCACACAAATAGGTTGAACTGAATAATGCTTTCACTTTCAAGGCAACACGGCATAGAACTAAATATTTGTCTTTACTTACAATAGGCCAGATACATTTCGTACTTGAGACTAACGATTTTAAGGCTAAATCATTTTGAAACTCAATTACTTCCATTTCTGTTGCAGCGATGTCTTCGCCAAAGTTCTGCATAACACAAGTTGCAAACTGTTGGATATCAATTTCCATAAAGGGTGAAACAACAAACTGCGCTACTAAAGCCATTTCGTTGAAATCCTTAAAACGATTTTTGAAGTTATTCTTCAGGGTAGAAACTATTTCTACATGATATTTGCTGTCATAGGGTTCTAATGGATTTTGAGATATTTTTTCTGAAAGAATAGGAAAATGCTTGGCATCGCTGTTAATTAGGTTTTGTTCCCAAAACTCCAGCTTTTTGATAAATGCTTTTATATCAGAAAACATTTCCGCTAGTTCTTTGTCTCTCTCCTGAAGCTGCAAATTAAGTTCGTTTAATTTCTCTGTAATGTCCACGAGAAAACCAAAATCTCTAAGCCAGATTGAATTTTCTAGTTCCGGAGTCGGTTCATCGCGTTGTTTGAAAAATTGAACTATGCCAGATAGGACATCATTAAAACGTTTCAGCACCCGTCCTCTACTTAACCATCGGACCTCAGAGTGAAGGAGTAGGTCCCCGTATTGACAGTCAACTTCATCGGCCAAGGTTTTGAATAATCTTCTTTGTAACGCTTGAGCTCTAATCTTGTTCACAATTTTTACCACCAGTTTCATAACGTTGTTTAGTTTCAGGAAATTTCCACATAATGCTTGCTGATGGATAATGCAGTGGTAACAGAGAAATTGCGGAAAAGTTTCATCTTTCCGGTCCACCATTACAAGTGCGAAAGGTGGCATAAAAATATTTAATTTGCTTTTAATGCAAAATCTTTAACCATCCCGCGTATGCCAGTCAGTTAAGATTTAATAAAATGACGTGTAATATTTGTGGTGTGAGAGAAAATTAATTGGCTCAATCCTCAGACACATAATTAATCAGATAAAGTATGTGAGAACTTTGAGATAAAGGTTAATTTGAAATTTGATTCTATTAGATTTATTAGGGATTATTTATCGTCTGTAATTTAATTATCTTTCTTGCTACTGCTCGTAAATATTTGAAGTGAATAATTATATTTTCATTCACTCAGTATTTTATTTACGGTACTTTTTTAATTACCCTGTAACAAATTACTGTTTGATTTTCAAACGAGTTTTGTTTATAGAAAACGTTTCAATTATCCACCAATTAAATTAATTTCAACATATTTTCATTTCGCATAAAATTTCATTTAATTCAATAAATCTAGAATAATTACGACTTGAATAAAATGAGTATGTAGTTACATTCAATAATGTCAATCCCATTCTTTCTCTAACAATACCCAGAAGTGGAACGAGAGTGACATAAGGCAGGAACGCGACCAGGATGCTGAAGCAGCCGGGACAAGAAATCGAGAAGGAGCGGATGTAACGTTGCGGCAATGTCGCGGATGTTTTAGAAAAATCGCGAATGATCCCGAATAAGGTATGACATGTACTCTACCAACAACCAAGCGGCCGATTCAGGTCGATGGGTTTTGTTGGCAATCTTGATTGTTCGAAAAATATAGTACACTGATGAATAAGCCAGGTCAGGAATGAAAACACATTTGCTTTATTTTAGAATCATTTAATTAGATAGGTACTTTTACCGTTAAAAATATCTAAACCTTCAATTTGTTTAATATAACTATTTTGTGTATATTTTATTTTAACATTTACGAGTATTTGTTTTGTGTCACTTTGAAATCTTTAAAGATATATTTAGAAATACGTGAGTAATTTCTAATAGCAATCGTTCTTGATCTTTTTTATATAATGGTTTGCATACATCTACGTAGAAGAAATTGCGGATAAGTAAGTAACAGTACTTTATTTTTATGAATAAATCACTATCGATGAACGTTCTTTTTTACAGTAAAGGTTTAAATTATTAAGACCTTAATAATAACTCTAACATCATTTTCAAAAAGGCAACGTTCTAAAAATGTTAACTTAAAAACAATGTTTTTTTCACCACTTTTAAATGTTTTAAAAATGTTTCCCAAAAATCCTATGTTACATAATTTCTCAAATACAGGCTATATTCTACAGCCGGCGTCCTTTCTTATTTGGACACCTGGTACATCATAATTTATGTGTAAAGTGACAAACTTATGACGTGCCTCCATCAGAGATAAGGGACATAAAGATAGGAAACGGTCATAAGAAGCCCATGCTTAACAACGACCAGCTTGAACGCAGTTAACATCTGACCCACTATGTGGCGCTTTCATCGTTATTAAACAAATAACGCAGCGGGAAATTTAAAAACCTGATAATAAAGGTTGTATAAATATCGATTGCACTCACATGTTCTGGTAAAAAAAAAGTTAAACAATGTTAATTACGCTAAATTATTTATTAAAAAGAAGACTACACTTACAGTCTATTGTCGATTAATTATTGTAAATCTACTCATGACAAATATTTTTTAAGCTTTGATTGTTTGTAACTTTAACATTTTTGATCTGATTTTCCAAACGAATAGCCAACTATATCTCATTTATAAAAATATTGATTGCAAACTAAATAATGCGAATTCAGATATTTTTCTTCCAATATCAAATCTTCTCTCTAACGTTTTGAAGCAATTTTTTGTTCTAAAACAATAAATACATAATCTGTGACAAAAGTTGATTACTGTTTGTGTTATTTACATAGCTAGATCCTACTTTGGTAAATTAAAGAACACCACATTGGGGATGTTAAATTTATTCACGTGGCATGTGTTACTAATGCAATACGTGATTCGACTTATTGTAATATTATAAAATATAATTATTGTCCTCAAATTTCACACAAAAATAACCACAACCATTTCGCTTATTTCATCTTAGAGGATAACACAATCATGAACTCAAAATTTAAAATTTAAATTTAGGATTTTACGATATACATACAACTAATTGACATTTATATTTACAAAGTGTCCACTGCTGTCCACAAACGACGTGTACCTTTAGTTAACATCTGAGACGCATAGATAACGCCATCGTTGCTGCGGTCGTTGCGTTTCCTATCTTTTATAAATATATTGTCACTTTATAATAGGAACATATCAGCTCAATCAGCTAGACACATACTTATAAAAAAAGCAAGACAAATTCGCCCAGTTACATGATGATTTGTGACTGTCGATTTGTCTAATTAGCAATTCACCTGATCAAAATGTGCCAGGAATTATTGAAACATCAAACGAACTTACCTGAATTATATAAAACGCCTTGTTCGAGATGATTATATATAGTACCTCCCTTTCTCCACTCTGTAGCCACGTATTTTAAAGTCTAAATACTCCCAGAAGTATTTAGAAAGTTCCAAAATAAAAACTGGTCGTGCCAGTCCTTCCCACCTCTGCTCCCTTTCCGTCATACTCACACTCTTACGTCATTCGTTTAAAGCGGTAATTGTGTTTTATCTTGTAGAGATGATTTTGGGTATAGGTGTGTGGGTGGGTTTAATGGTCTCTAACAGGCGTATCATATAATTGAGATAGAACTTCACTTCAGGTAAGTTCGTTAGATCTTTCAATTATATTTCACGCCTTGTTCTCAATGATCATAGATGTTTAAAGAAAAGATGAAACATAATTGCAGAGAACATTTTTATTCTAAACCCAACGATTGAACCATTATTCGAACTGATTTGGTATATGTTAAGTACCCTACTAGAATTTAAGTACTAAGCAATTTAAAACTCAAAATAGATATATACAACGAACATTACGAATTCTGAATTTCAAAGGCAAAATTATGTTGATCATGATTCATAACATAAAAAGTATTTTATAGAAATTGTTAAATGTTACCTATTAAATTTTTTTTGTCTATCTAATGTATGTTTAATTATGTCAACTTCCAATTTATTAGCAGCATATGTAGAGGTATGACGTGTAAAATGCGAATTAAATGCTGTGGTATCTACTTTATGTGGACTCAATTTCACCCAACGGCTAATATATTGGGAAGTTGCAGGATGTTGTGGCTTTTTGTTTGTTTGTTTGGAAAATAGCCATTTATTACCCCCCGAATGTTCTTAGTCGTCCTCTCTAAATAGCACCCTAAAACTTTAGGTACACATAAAAGACGGTTTTTGAATCAATGCTAAAGTATTTCAAAATATTATAGGTAATAGTTATATGGCGAAATTTCACCGAATTTATGGTTAAGTCTTCCATAACTACTAATAATATTTAAAACTTTTTTTTTACAATAAGTTA